GGAACAGAAAAGTCAAGGATTTACTCAAATACTCTAAAGTATATGAATGAAGAGAAATTTTGATTTGGCTCATCAATTGTAACATATGACATGAAACAAAAATTTATATCTAATTATAATTACTTAATAACTACGTTAAATATTATACTTTACCAAGAAAGAATATATTTTAAATATTAGGTAACAAATATTTATGGAATTTCAGGTATAGCGACAGTCATTCTTTATGTTCCTCTCAGTCAATACAACCATTTTAAATTCTCACAGAAAAAAAATGAATTTAAATATTTAACTTTGCTGAAATGATTAGATGCAAAACTATTGAAAAGCTGAATACTAAATTATTATTTATAAGGCAAGACACTAATGTTACCATATAGTTCATGTAATTTCATATCACATTCCAGAAGGAATATGGTGTTTTTTTATTGGAGTATAGTTAGAATAACCACAGGCATTTTTCTTAAGAAAAATACTAGTATCAATAAAACTGAAAGCATCCAATATATTTTTAAGTCGTTATAAGATATTTAATGTAATGAAGTTTAACACATGAGGATGATAAGGTAATTATATAGTGATTCAAAGCAAAATATCATCTTGAATAGTCTACATGTCCTTCAGTTTGCCTTTGAGGCCATCAGTTAAGGTGAATAATAAAGATAACTTTTTCTTTTCTTCCAATTCAGTGCTGAGTACAAGAGGAGGACTAAATATGTTCAGAAAAGTCTTAATCCTGAGTGGAATCAAACAGTAATTTATAAAAGTATTTCTATGGAACAGGTAGGTAACGATTATTTTCCAGGTAGTCGTTTTAGGTTAATATAAGTATAGTGATGACAAAATTATTGAAAGATGAGAATCCTTATTAATGTTTCTATGCAATCAAATAATTGAATAAAAAATATGTAATGGAAACTTAGCAAAAGAAAAGGGGTGGGGTTCAAAGATAGGGTGAAAATAAATATGCACATTTTGACAAAGTAGCCAAAGATTAGATAAGTATATAAATTAGACTAGTGGAGCGCTTTCTACTGAGTAATTCAAAATTTAAAAATTTTAATAAACTGGGCCATATTTGTTACATTTGGGAAAAATATTTCTCAACTGCCAACATTTTAATTTTGTAAATAATCCAAAGGAAAAATAAGATTCATTGCAGATAAATTTATTACTTCACCAGAGAACACTGTAGGGAGTGGTGTCTTGTCTAAATTGAAGCCTCTTAAGAATCTGGCATTGTGGGTATAAACTATACAAAAGGAGGCATAATCTTGGCTAGCAAAAGGGATTATCACCACAAATGACTATAGGTAAAATTGCATCAATGTGTTTCTGAAAGCAGCATTTGATAACTTTACATAATAACAGGAAAAAATCTACAATTTATAAGGTTGAATTCAGAAAGAAAGAATACAAACAATAAGAAGAAGGCATCCCTATAAATTACAAACGTACCTTTCCAAATGACATTTTACATTTGTCTTCTGGAAGACTAATTTGATTAGAAATTCCAAAGTAGGTATAAATTATAATATGAATTCTCAAATTGTAAATAAATTAAATTCATCTGCAGAAATAAGACAAGATGGGTCAGCCCATGACATGGTGGTCATGGTGGCAGGATCCCTGACTACATAGTTGGAGTCCTGGATCCCATGACTTGATAAAAAGCTGAGCATGTGTGTGTGCATGCCCAAAATTCCAAAAGGAGAAATGGAAGAGGAGGAATTATGGCATCACCATCTCCCATGGGGGAGGGGACATGCTTTCTTACTTTCTCACTCTCTGGTGAAGGCATGTGCCCTCTAACAAACAGGGAGATTTGGGGGGAAGACTTAAAAATAAGGTGGTTAAGGTGTTAGACTGTCACATAGCTAACTGTGGTTCAAGTCCCGGACTTAGTGACTTACTTTTTCACTTTCCCGTTCTCTCTCTCTGTCTCCCTCTGGTAAAGTTAAAAATAAATAACAGTAACAAATAAAATTAAATAAATAAATCTTTTTAAAAAAACACAGTAAGTAAGGTTATTGTCATTTTTGTACATTACTAAAACAAAAGTTGTAAACCAAATATTTTATCTAAATAATCCTAGAATTATTTGAAGTCTATACATTTCTTATGTTTAAATGGGATTTATAGGTTTATTTTGCTATCCATTTTTGGAAATGAGGAGGGGCTACAACAATAAGAAATAAAACAACTTACCATTTTTTTTTTCACACATAATGTGGTTCCACAATATCAACCATTGGATAGGATTGCTATATCACTGAAGTTTTACATTTAATCTTATATAACTTCTCATAGATTATAAAATTTTAGGTTACATAAAAAAATCATAAATGAAAAGGGGTTAAGGAAGAGAAAACAAACTGGCCTATTATATGAGTATAATTAAAATTTATGAAGAAAACGGTTTTAATGACATTTTTATTTGAACTATAGCTCAAGAAGAAAACACTGGAGGTGACAGTTTGGGATTATGATAGATTTTCTTCTAATGACTTCCTTGGGGAGGTAAGCCTTTAATTTCCTTTTCCTTACTTGCTGCCTTTGTAAACCACCAATTAAAGCCTGTTGCAAAGCACATTTCTTAAATTTAAATAAATTTATTATATTATAAAATGACTGGAGTTTCAAAAGTGCATTTTCAGGTTCTTTAATTGATATTCATTACATGTAAAAATGACTTGATGTGACATTTTACATTATTATTTTTGACTAAGTATCCTAAGGAAAAACATCTCTTGACTATTTTAAGAGGCAAACACAGGAGAAAGTAGGAAAAATTAATTTTAAAAATATATAAATTTATAAGGAATCAAAATAATGTGATCATTAAATCTGGTAATCAGATTTTATGATTTTTCTTATCTGTTTTATTTATGTATACTTGTTCTCTGCTTAAAGCAGTTTATGTGTGTTAAAAATGAATTATCTTCAAAAAATGCAAAACTTGGGACCAGCAGTTAGCATAATGGCTATGTCGCTGAACTCCCACATGGTTGAGCGCGGTTCGTGTCCCGGACCTGGTGGCTTGAACTCAAGCTGGGCACATGTGCGTTTGTGCCCAAGATCCTGAGAGGAGAATGGAGGAGAAGGGATTGTGGTATGGCCATCCCCCCTAGGGGGGTGATTTCTCGCTTTCTATCTCTCTGTCTCTCTCTCTGTCTGTCTGGCAAGCACATGCGTCCTATAGCAAAAACTTCTAGTAAAAATGACTTGATGTGACATTTTACATTATTATTTTTGACTAAGTATCCTAAGGAAAAACATCTCTTGACTATTTTAAGAGGCAAACACAGGAGAAAGTAGGAAAAATTAATTTTAAAAATATATAAATTTATAAGGAATCAAAATAATGTGATCATTAAATCTGGTAATCAGATTTTATGATTTTTCTTATCTGTTTTATTTATGTATACTTGTTCTCTGCTTAAAGCAGTTTATGTGTGTTAAAAATGAATTATCTTCAAAAAATGCAAAACTTGGGACCAGCAGTTAGCATAATGGCTATGTCGCTGAACTCCCACATGGTTGAGCGCGGTTCGTGTCCCGGACCTGGTGGCTTGAACTCAAGCTGGGCACATGTGCGTTTGTGCCCAAGATCCTGAGAGGAGAATGGAGGAGAAGGGATTGTGGTATGGCCATCCCCCCTAGGGGGGTGATTTCTCGCTTTCTATCTCTCTGTCTCTCTCTCTGTCTGTCTGGCAAGCACATGCGTCCTATAGCAAAAACTTCTAAAAAAAAAAATCCAAAACTTGTAAAATATGAGTTTGATAGAGACTTTATAAAATGGTTCTGTAGTGTAGATGATACGGAGGCCTTCTTTGGTTCTTAAAACTATGTAATCTCTCTTTTCCACCAAATCTATATCCCTTGATCCTCACCTTCAGGCTCCATCCTGGGTCAGCCACTGAGACTAATTT